TGTGTCAGGCGGAATGCTAGCACATACCAGTGTCCTGAGGTAGGCATAAATCTCCATATTGTTAATCACAAGTAAACACTGGCATTTAAGACTGCTGCGGGGAGTGACAGTATCCTAAGCAGAAGCTGGTCTCTGGAGAAGCAGAGTTGGGGGAGGAAGCAGCTGAGCTGTTCAGAAGATGAACGGAGGCTCTTCCACAGGACCGCTGGCAGAGCCTCAGGCCCTGCCCTCAGAGGGAGCTAACAGTGGAGATGTGGGTGTAGAAGCATGGTTGGCCTTTTCTCTCTTTGTTTGAGGAAGCCCAGACTGCAGCAGAGAAGGTGGGGAGAGGAGGTCCCAGCACACACGGAGACCCTGGCTCTCTGAGGAAATCATTCCCACAGCCCTGCACTGCTTAATTTAGATATTTTAAAGCCCAAATTCTTCCATCAAGTCTTATCTCTTCCAAGACTCTGAACAATCCCAGAGGTAGGAATTAAACATCTCAATTTTACAGATAAGGAGAATAGGGTTCACACAGGTTAAGAACACACTAGCAGAGAGACGCTAGAGAGAGCTCGAACTGCCAAGCTGGCAGAGTGTCCAGCTCTGTGCTTTCCCATCATGGTGAGCCACCTTTACACCGTGACTGAATACCTGTCACGTCCATCAGCTGTGTCATGGCTTTATTGCCTCTTTTACCTGTCCCTAGTTCCCTTAGCTCTCTGTCACTTCCACAAAACCTTTGCTCTCCTTGCCCCTTGCTGTTTTCAGGGGTTTTGCCAGACAGCCAGGGCAAGGAGTGTCTAAAGTTCCCCACGAGGGACCTAAGAAAACCAATGCTAAGTGACCAAAGGGGACCTGTCTCCTTTCTCTATGCTTTATACTTAATACAGGGGCTTCAACTGATAGGTCAGACTCCTGCAGTGTTGGTAGAGCAGAGGTGAGTCCACCTGATGAACTTGTGACAGTCTTGGTGACATGATGTCTGACAGGAGCAACTCCCCAGACAGGCTCCTGAGGGTAGAGCCACTGGGTCAGGCTGAAGCATCAGACCAGGGGTGCACCATTCCTTAGGGAGTCTCTCTTATCCCTTTATCAGACCCCCTCTCTGCTGGTCACCTTCCTGTCTCATTCTACACAGGGGAACTCTAGTCTTGGACCCTTGCTGGCCACAGGGTGCTAGGAATAAGCCTAAGGCTGTGATGTCCTCTACGGCCTCTGCTGCCTCTATTCCTCCTCTGCGTACGGACTGGTGAACAGTCGAGCCCTTTGTTCTCATTGGTATCTTCACCCCAGATCCATCCTCTCCTGCTTCTATGGAGTCCCTGTTCAGTGCCTCTGACTCCAGGGTCTTGGGCCCCCTCTTCAGACCCATCACTACAGAATCACTACAGAAATGGCCTGGACTCCCAGCTCCCCAAGTTCACCGAAGTGCTTTTGATATGCACTCAGGATCTTGAGAGCAGCCTACCTCTAATGGAGAATGAATAGAACAAAATACAATAACATTAAACACCACAGCACAGAACACAATGGGAAACGGCAGAAAGGTTTGTGCCATGAAAGGGTAGGCATCTTGTTTCTTAGACGTTCTGCTTCACTCGGGGGAGGTGTGTACAGGGGCGTGAGTAGGCATGTTATCCTGGGTCAGATGGAAGCTTACTTCTTGCTGTAGATGCTGCTGCTGTAAACGTTTACTTTTGAGGAACACTGCTCCGGCTCCTCGCCTTAGCTGCTGATGCTCCCTTGAAGTTGAATCTCTCACAGAGAACCCCCTCCCTGCTTTTCCCTCCGCACCTGGCTTTTCATCCACAGCCCCATCCTTGGATGACCACTGCGATTTACCAAGGCTTCCAGAGCCCAGATCTCCCAGACCCTGGGACGTCTCTGATTCTTTACCATCCACCTGCCTGTGGGTCTGAACAACCTGTAGCTCTTTCTTTCCAGAAAACTTCACTATCTGGGGAGACCACTGGCTTCTGATGCTCTCTGGTTCCTACGCTGCCACACCTGTCACTGCCTACCTTCTCCTTCCAGATCCCGACTAGCTCACCTCCAACACTCTCATAAGCCTCCGGGCTCTTACTCTCTGCTCTTCTCTTTAAAAGCCCCGTCCTCCACTTGGGACTTCTCTACTCAACATTTGAGACTCTGACCAGGTCTCTGAGCATATGCTATGGTTCACTGTGTGCTAGTCTCCTGGGAAAGGAGCAGGGCTGGGCAGGGACCACAATGACGGGTTCAGTTCACAGTTATAAGGTTGTTTTAGGTACATGGTGCGACTGTTCCCTCTACTTCACAGAGGAAGTTGCTGATATTGAGCTGAGAGGGATTTTCTCCAGTCTCTCCTCCACTGCAGGAAGAATCCTAGAACCTACAGTTTCTCAGTTCAGCCCGACAGTCCATCCCTCCACGTTGCACAGTAACCTTACTGCGTAGAGAGCGGAGGCGCATTTGGATCATTCATCCAGGCTGTCAGTTAGAGCTATAGATTGTTAAGGGTGTTTTAAAAACAGTAATTTCCAGTCCTTGCTGCTTCAAATTTAATGAGGTAGAATCTTTTAGGAGAGCTTTTGGGTTGTTTTATAATAATAATAATAATAATAATAATAGCTATTATTATAAAACATAATTATAAAATAATAGTTATTATTATTAAAGAGCTAATATTATAAAGATAATAGTTATAATAATAATTATTATTAATATTATCATTATTATTTTGAGACAGGGTATCATTATACAATCCTGACAGGCATGAAACTTGCAATGTAGATCAGGCTAGCCTTGAACTTCCAGAGACCCACCTGTCTCTGGAGTACTGGGATTATAGGCATACAACACCACATCTGGCTTGACATCATCCTTTTGACATAATTAAAAACACAGAGTGTAGAAGAGGGTTTCATGCACCCTCATCTCAGCTTCCCCAATGCTAATACCTTTTAAAAATTTATTTTTATAGCATTTCAGATGAAGTCTGGAGCCTGGTACATGCTAAGCAAGTGCACTAGTAGTGAGCTACATCCCAGAGGCCATTGGTAACTCTGTACATACTACAGCCAATACCTTACCCAGGATACGGAATGCTGCTCCCGTCCACACAGCAGGTGCAGACACTCACTTGGGAATGAGATGTGGTTTCATCAGCTGTGCATCTGGGTGTAACTACCCCTGCAGCTGAGTTACTTCACTGTACCGGACTCCCTATGGGGTTGAAAGCTCCCAAGCGTGTTTGAATGGCATACATGAAAAGTATGTCATTCATGGGTAAGCACTGTACCAGCACACTGCTCTGTCACCTCCATCTCCTAAGACAATGTCCACCATCCCTTACATCATCTTGGTTTGAAACTTCAAGTCAATAATGTCCTGCTTTCATTTGGATCATCTGTCCATGGCAGGTCCCACCATTCTTCTTCTGTAATGTCTCTCAGGCTAACGTCTCATTCTTAGTCCTGGTCTTGGATTTCTGGTCTGCCCTTCTACAGGAGCCTCCCTTCATCCAGAGGCTCTTTCCCCACCCAGAATCACAAAGCACAGACAAGACTCTCCTTTGCTCAATCCTCAACCCCTCACTCCTCTCACCAAAGCCATCTGATGGTCACCATCATTGACAGAATAAGGTCTACATCCTAAAAACTCACATAAGAAATCCTCCATATCTGACATTTTCTGTACCTAAATTTCATAGAAAACCAGTGCAGCATCCCTATGCTTTCTCCACAGATTAAAGTCAGGTGGAATCTCTTCCTTTAGTCTATGATAAATGTATCAGAGTGGGATTTGGGAGTATCTTTTATTTGGAAATACTCTCACCTCTGGAAGAGAGGTTCTGGCACCCCTTCACCCCCTCATTCGATATAAGAGGTAGGGTACACAGCTCTCTGGAGAGTCCTTTCATTTAATCTTCAATGAGGTGTAGGTGGGTACCAATAGAGATGAGAGCTGGGCCTCTCCTACCTCCCTCATATCCACCTCCTTCAGAATGACATTGCCAACTTTCTCACATTGTTGATATCTCCTTCCTTTGTGCCCATGGGGAGATGAAGCAAGTGAATCACAAGTGTTCCCTTTGGAAAGCTCCTGAATCCCCCCACAGCTCTTTCCCTGTGGCTCTAAACTCAAGACAAGAAAATGAAAAGGAAAACTCACTTATTGAGATGAAAGGCATTTCAATTATCTGATATGTTTCAGCTTTAATTGATAACAAATCAAATATTGCTCACCTCATTACAGTACCTGATTTATCAGGAATTTCCCTACATATGCCCGAGAAGCCTTGAAAGACAACGCAAGGACATGTGATCTGCTCACACTGTGGTTGACTATTTTTATCATAAGCACATGTACGGATATGGTCCTGATGAGAGCACTGGTCTCTAAGCTTTGCACACCTAATCTTTAAGTCTGGAGAGTTCTGGAGAGTGGGAATCAGAGGATGTGAAGCATGGACCAATGGATAGAGGATAGAGGTAGCTGGTGGAGGCTGGAAAAAGACACACGGAAGAGTTCAATAAGGCCCTTGCAGACAAACTTGAGCCTTTCAGGAAACAGAGAATAGACATCAGAGGGGAACCAGTGATTCACACAGATTTCTAATAGCTCCATTGCTTTTATTTGGTTCAAATTTATCAACAACCACACCATCAACACCATCCTCACTCTTGATGGCAAAACAACTACGTGTCATCATCCAAGTGGAGGTGAGGACCACCATCAGTGAAACGATGCTTCATAGAAAACAGCTATGGTCTGTGAGATGGGTAGATTCAAGACATCTCATCTCCTCATATTGCTTTAGAATGCTAGGAGAAGCAGTGGTCAGCTACTGAAGACATGGCCCCTCTGGGGTGCACATGGACTTTCCAAGCAGTGACCATCATGAAACTGTCTCTGAGGCAATACGTCCTAGATGGAAGAGCCATTGAACAACTTGAGAAGTGAAAACCCAAAGCTAAAATTCTTATAAGCCCTCACAAGACCAGATGCTTAGCTCCAGGGAGACAGGCACTCACCGTTGCTGCTGTTATCGTCCACCAGAATGATCTCCTTGAGCAGGTGTGATGGTGTGCGTTCCATGGCTGAATGGATGGAACGCAGCAGCACCGAGAGTGCCTCATTGACGAAGATGAACACGATGCTCACCTCTGGTAGGCTGTCGGGGAACGAGAGGTTGCGGCACCTGGAAAGAAGAACAGCTGAGGTTTTGGACCTGCTGGGGACACCACTGGGATCACACCACGTGTGGGTCTACCCCCAAACCTCCTTCAGATTTTCTGGTGTGGTCAGGAGCTCCATTTCTCCCCAAGGCCTCATCTCTAGTATGCCAAAGATGGGCCCTACCTAAGCAGCAGAAGTCTACAGCTACTGAAAGCTTGGCCATAAGAGCATGAACATGGGTTGGTGGCCATGTCAGCTGTGGAGCAGGACCTGAGCACCTGGTGCAGGGCTTCTTAAGACTTCTTATAACCACAGCCCCTTCTTACCTGGGAAATCTTAAGTGACACTGAGTATATAGGTATCTAAAACAGGTATTTAAATCAAACTTTGATGATAAATCACAAAAAATTATCTTAAAACAATTCTTTGGGTAAACATAAAATTTACCACTTATTAAAGATAAATGGAAAACTAATATATGAATGACCTCCTTATGCTTGTCTTTTCAATATAGCACAAGCCAAAGGCTCACTAAGCTTACATGTGAGCCATAGTGGCCGGGCTACAGGCAGTTCTGCTGTCTGTAATTAAACTATTGCATTTCTATGGGAACTGAAAACTTTGAATGGAGAGTAAAACACTCAACTTATATCTATCATACAGCAATCTTGAAGCTGAGCCTCTGTCTCAGGGAGTACCCATTGCTGTCATGTGGCCTTGGTGTATAGGCTGCAAAGTGCCTGTGTTTAGAACCAAGGCTGCATAGAAGTCGTGTGACATACATAGGTCAGCGCTGGCAGAAACTTCTTCGATTCTTCATGAGTTTGACTTTTGAACTAAGCTTTGGTCTCTGTGCACTCAGAACTCTTTGGCTCTTTCAGATCTTTTACAGACCCCACATTTTATTATGGGTTAACGAGCCAGAGGGTGAGAAGCTTTGACCTAGTATAGCACACAGCCAAAGGAGGTTTCTTTCAGAACGTTTGCTGGAAGGATGGCTCAGCATTTAAAAACCAAGGGATGAAAAACGTAGCTGAAGGGAAGTCTTAGTGTTTCTAAAGGCAGACCTTAGGTGACTGACTTTAGGAGAGAGCAGTGACTCCACCTAGAGACTCTATTAAACCCACTCTTCCTCACTCTTGGAAGTGTTCCCCACATCCAATCCATCCAGTGACCCAAAGGGAAGTTAAAGTCAGAATCACAACCCTGATGAGACAGAATGAGCGAGCCTAATATCTGTCACTCATAGCTACTAATGGCTAAAGCGGAAGTCATCTGCCATTCAGTGGTCACACACACACACACACACACACACACACACACACACACACAGAGAGAGAGAGAGAGAGAGAGAGAGACAGAGAGACAGAGAGAGACAGACAGAGACAGAGAGACAGAGACAGAGAGACAGAGAGAGATAGAGAGATAGAGAGATAGAGAGACAGAAAGACAGAGAGAGTTCTAACTCTGGTCTTCTCATGGCCATACCAAGGAAGAAATGGCCACTAAAGGAGCTGCCCCAGACTGTCCATTTTCCCAGCTTCCTGAAGCCATTGAGAAGACCCTTACTTGACCAGACGTATACTCACAGAAGCTACATGTCTTTCTGCATGGGAAGAGAAGCAGATAGCCATGACCAGGCAACAAGAAGAGCATACTTCCCAGGGGTATTCTTGCTACCAAAAGCATAACCTTCCTGGCAGGAACCCCTGCTGGTGGCTTGCCCTGCCTCAAATGAAAAGCTGTTCAAGAAGTCCTGAGCCTCACCATCAAGACAGCTGAATGAAAGGAGAGAGCCGCGGGCTTGGGGAAGAAGCTGCCTGCCGACACCCACCACCTGGCACTGAAGGCTCCAGGGGTTTAGGGCTTGTGGCCGTGTTACATTGTTCCAAAGTGGTGGTGCAGCCAAGTTAGAACACGCGGTAATTAGCGTACGAGCGTGGTTCTTCTGCTCGCAGTAATTAAAGTGCTGCAGGATAGGAATGGGCCTGTTCTTCTTAATGAGGAAGGCTGCAGGATAACCAGACTGAGCAATTTGGAGAAATCACCATGGGGCCCCAGCCTGCTTAAGAGCAGGAGATTAATAAACGAAAATCACTGTCTCTATGGTTACCAGAAATTTACAGAAACTTCTCCCATTCTATTTCCAGCTCTCCTTCCCTCTCACCAAAGGGGGGTGGGGGAGGGAAAGGACTTGAGCCTTTTCCCAAATCTACTTCACACTACAACTTTAATACAACCATCAAGTGAACAGACTGGCACAGCACACTTTTATTCTTGTACATAATGGAATAACTATGTATTGTCGAGTTTTGTATACCTGGTAGGGATGACGACAGGTGCTGGGACACAAAGGGGACACAGACAATTCCTTGTTCTCCTGGGGCTTATATGTTGACAAGAGAAATGGATGAGTATGAAAGCATGTTGCTGCAAGTGTTGAGGTTAAGGTAGCACAGGGCACATGGATATCATGACGTCTGGACAGCTATTCCAGGGAGTGGTCAAGAAGCCCCCTATGAAGAGGGAGATTTGACTAGACTCTTAAACACGGTGTAAGCGTTGGTCATGCTGAGATCTCACAGGGCCCAGGGAACAGTGCTGTGGTTAGAGAGGAGCTAAGCAGCCTGCCTAACCAACGAGAAGGGAGAAAGTTCTTCAGCTTACCAGACCCCTCCCAAAGATACTTTCCTCTTTCCCTCCAGTGAATGTAATTTCAATAACAACACTGAGAAGGTTTGTGGAAGACAGCCAAGTGGTTTTGTTGGGCTAGAACTTATGATGGGCAGCTAAGACCAGGCAGCTAAGCCTTCCCTAGGCAGGGGAACAGGAGAATACTAACACATACATTGCTTGCTAAGTTCATGTTAAAAGTAGTGTCACACAGGCCTGGAAGGATGGCTCAGCAGTTTGCTATTCTTCTGAAGGACCTGAGTTTGAATTTCAGAGTCTAAGTCAGACAGAATCCACATTATCTTCTGGCTTCTTCAGGCACTCAAATAGATGCAGCGCGCGCACACACACACACACACAGAGAGAGAGAGAGAGAGAGAGAGACAGAGAGACAGAGAGACAGAGAGACAGAGAGAGACAGAGAGAGACAGAGAGACAGAGAGGCAAAGAGATAGAGAGATAAGAGAGAAAGATAGAGAAAGAGAAACAAAGCTTAAACAAATGTAATGCCATACACAATCAAACACATTTAAAAAAAAAATCTTTTCAAGTACAGTGGACAGCTCCCAGTGAGGTCATTGTTTGGTTCAAGTTCCCTGTCCTCCCTGGTAAGTGAGACTGTGGGTCTAGAATCCTGTGCCCACCAATCGTTTTTCAGAGACAGAGTTAATCACCTTCCCCCAATTTCTTTCCTTATTTCTGGACATGGCTACCTAGACTTCTCCTTTGAAGAAAATTCATTTAAATTTCCCCTGTGACAGCCATAGCGGCCTCTGTAAGCCAGTCTCCTGGTAGTCATTCTCCAACCATAATCAAAACGTTATGGTTCTTTTACAACTAAACTCCATTGATCACCATTTTCATAAGAAAGACTTTCAAACCAAAGGTTTTTCTAGGGAAACTCCTGTACATAACAGAATCCCTGATATATCATATCATATCATATCATATCATATCATATCATATCATATCATATCATATCATATCTACACTTGTTTGTTTATAATCTCTCCCTGAAGTGCCAATGAATATCGTACCATGATAGCAAGGATTGTTTTTCAACTTTGATACCCTGCCATCTTCAATAAGGACCTGGCACGTAGTAGGTGGTTAGTGTTTTGGGCATCAAATAGAGCACATAAGCTGGTTTATATTCTGCACATCCTATATCTTATCTGCACACCACAGATCTCTGGAATACCAGCCCCCCCTCCACCAGCGGGCTCTTGTCTGCCTGCATTTTCTTTCCCTGGATTTATGTCCCAGTTCCTCATAGCCTCCATTAAGTTGTTCCCTCAAACGTCCTAATCTCTTCTAAGCCCTCTTTTTCCTTTTTCCTGGGAACCTGATTGTGTGTCTCTCTCACAATACTTCTCCCTCTCTACTTCAGGCTTTCCTCACCTACCTGAAAGAGGGTGTAGATAAAGCATCACCAGGCAAGGGGTCATTCCTAGTACACAGGGATGGGGGCACCTGGGCATGCTACTCAGCTTAGCCTGCCATATTGTGTGATCTTGGACAAGACCCCCCCCCCTCTCTCTCACACACACACACACACACACACATCTTCACATAGGAAGACAAGATTGCCCAGAGGTCTTTTGCTGAGTAAACTTAAGAGTTTTTTTCATCACGCATACACTGAACCAAAGATACTTGAAATGAATGACTGAAAGATGATCTGCACACTCTAGCTTCCTCCAAGGCAGTGCCTTGTCACCCTCAACCATTCCAAGGGCATCCCTCACCACTATAAATGTCTGGCCACCCTGCCCCTGAACCACGAGTTTCCTGATGGCTGAGAATGGCCTTGCTCACAGCCTCATACCACTGGCCAGCACAGTACCTAACAATGAAGTCTGTCAACTTGTTGATAAAGTTGCCTTTCCAGTTGTTCCTAATCCCACTCCCCACCTCACATACACACAGTCTTGCTTCCAATCTCTCTACTCATTATTGAAACAGAGCTTGCATTGCTGAAGGAAGGAAATAAAAAGAGACAAGAAAGAAAGAATGCATCAGTCAAAATACTCATATCTGCTGGTCACAGCCTCGTTGGTATTTCACGCTCCCAGACTAGGAACATATGGTTGCTGCTGGGGCCCTGCAGTGGAAACACACTTCTAAGAAATATCACAGAGGAAGATGATGTAAGATGTGGGGATGAGATGGCATGATTGGCCTTCCACTGGCCCAGTCCCTGTCAGTACCAGCTAATTTGTACAATTTAGGCCATTCTATACTCTAATTGGGCTGACTTATTAAGTCCCTCCATGATGAAAGTCCTTATATAAGATCCACAGGGTTCCCTGACTGTGGACAGAATGGATGTAAGTTCTGGGTGCCTGC